TCAATTATTTCGATCAATGTTGGGCTCACCCGTGATGTGATGAATTATAAATAGCAATTGCTATTAGCTAATTCATATTGTGGTTTCTGTCAGCTGAGAGTTCTCTAAACATGACCGCTTGTGTTGCATCAATCTTTCCTCAGTTAGCGGTAGGACTAATGTAGCCTACATTTTCCGGTTTGGATGATTGTGTATGCTGTCGCTACATATGTGAATGTCTGAACATTGCATCCAAAAATAAACTGGTCACATTCAGGACATAACTTTGTAAGGACTGTGTTTTTGCCAAATGTTTCTGTGAAAAAAAACAGTGTGGCTAGCTCAAATGCTGACTGTTGCGTCAATCGAAACTGGACGTTCTAAATAAGCGTTCTAATCACACCGGTTTGAACATATGCTGCATGAACCACTGTAGAATGATCACAACCCTTTGTTGGTATGTGTGAAACGTTTTGGGTTTTTTCCCACAAAAGTAGTGCACTGGACCTTTACTAGTATTAGCGGACCGATATAGATGTCTCTAGCGCAAGCAAAAATATTTTCTCAGCATCTCTGCTTTGGCAAAAAAGGTAGTTGTATAATTAAGAACAGGATCTTGCAGGATTGAATTGTTGTAATTGTAAGAGTTGTTGCCCTGTCCCTTTCTCTGCAATTGTCATTCTAATGGCATCCTGAAAGAACAAAACCCTGTCCTCAAACATTTACATCAAAAGGTGCAAAGTTATGGGCAAAGACACAAAACATCCACATCAAATTCAATATTTTTCTTGATCAAACAACATGGAAAACAACCACTATTTGTGCATTATTAATTTTCCTTACAAACCACAGTGTAAATGTACATTACTGTATTGTACATAGGCAGGTCATCTAGGTTTGTACCTGTAGACTTTCCATGTCCATGAACAAAAACAATGCACAATACAGTAATTGAGTACATTGAGACATCAAGTGGTTTGTGATGATGTGATGATGTGGCTCAGTTGGTAGAGCATGGTGCTTGCAATGCTAGGGTTGTGGGTTCGATTCCCACGGGGGGACCAATGAAAATGTATGCACTCACTACTGTAAGTTGCTCTGGATAAGAGTGTCTACTAAAAAGAAATGAATAGACCATTTCAGCTTTCACATATAAATTAGTTGCATAATCTGCAAAAAAATGTTTTACCATGTTAATAATTCCTTAATATGGTATAATTGATTATTTTCTCTTGTTTATTCATTTACAATTTTGACCATAAAGTATTTTCTTATTAACAATTATCGCTTGTGGATTATTACTCCTCTAATATCCTGACTGAGATAAAATGCTGGACAACACAAAGTCTACAAGATAACAGAACATTATAGTACATCTACAGTGGGGAAAAAAAGTATTTAGTCAGCCACCAATTGTGCAAGTTCTCCCACTTAAAAAGATTAGAGAGGCCTGTAATTTTCATCATAGGTACACGTCAACTATGACAGACAAATTGAGAAAATAAAATACAGAAAATCACATTGTAGGATTTTTAATGAATTTATTTGCAAATTATGGTGGAAAATAAGTATTTGGTCACCTACAAACAAGCAAGATTTCTGGCTCTCACAGACCTGTAACTTCTTCTTTAAGAGGCTCCTCTGTCCTCCACTCGTTACCTGTATTAATGGCACCTGTTTGAACTTGTTATCAGTATAAAAGACACCTGTCCACAACCTCAAACAGTCACACTCCAAACTCCACTATGGCCAAGACCAAAGAGCTGTCAAAGGACACCAGAAACAAAATTGTAGACCTGCACCAGGCTGGGAAGACTGAATCTGCAATAGGTAAGCAGCTTGGTTTGAAGAAATCAACTGTGGGAGAAATTATTAGGAAATGGAAGACATACAAGACCACTGATAATCTCCCTCGATCTGGGGCTCCACGCAAGATCTCACCCCGTGGGGTCAAAATGATCACAAGAACGGTGAGCAAAAATCCCAGAACCACACGGGGGGACCTAGTGAATGACCTGCAGAGAGCTGGGACCAAAGTAACAAAGCCTACCATCAGTAACACACTACGCCGCCAGGGACTCAAATCCTGCAGTGCCAGACGTGTCCCCCTGCTTAAGCCAGTACATGTCCAGGCCCGTCTGAAGTTTGCTAGAGTGCATTTGGATGATCCAGAAGAGGATTGGGAGAATGTCATATGGTCAGATGAAACCAAAATATAACTTTTTGGTAAAAACTCAACTCGTCGTGTTTGGAGGACAAAGAATGCTGAGTTGCATCCAAAGAACACCATACCTACTGTGAAGCATGGGGGTGGAAACATCATGCTTTGGGGCTGTTTTTCTGCAAAGGGACCAGGACGACTGATCCGTGTAAAGGAAAGAATGAATGGGGTCATGTATCGTGAGATTTTGAGTGAAAACCTCCTTCCATCAGCAAGGGCATTGAAGATGAAATGTGGCTGGGTCTTTCAGCATGACAATGATCCCAAACACACCGCCCGGGCAACGAAGGAGTGGCTTCGTAAGAAGCATTTCAAGGTCCTGGAGTGGCCTAGCCAGTCTCCAGATCTCAACCCCATAGAAAATCTTTGGAGGGAGTTGAAAGTCCTTGTTGCCCAGCGACAGCCCCAAAACATCACTGCTCTAGAGGAGATCTGCATGGAGGAATGGGCCAAAATACCAGCAACAGTGTGTGAAAACCTTGTGAAGACTTACAGAAAACGTTTGACCTGTGTCATTGCCAACAAAGAGTATATAACAAAGTATTGAGAAACTTTTGTTATTGACCAAATACTTATTTTCCACCATAATTTGCAAATAAATTCATTAAAAATCCTACAATGTGATTTTCTGGATTTCTTTTTCTCATTTTGTCTGTCATAGTTGACGTGTACCTATGATGAAAATTACAGGCCTCTCTCATCTTCTTAAGTGGGAGAACGTGCACAATTGGTGGCTGACTAAAAACTTTTTTCCCCCACTGTATATCTATGAACAGTTATCTATACAAATAACACATCATATCTAATAAATACTGGGTGAATATTTTGTGAACATATAGTGTACATTTGGTATTAATTTCAATTCAATCAGTTTAGGAGATTAATTGGATTTCCAATACAACAATTGAAAATGATGATTATTTTAAATGAGGATATTCAATTCACCGATTTGAGATGGAATTGATTGATCCCTGAAGCATATACAAATGAAACACCTGTGGTTATGCAGCTAAATCCACTTTAGAATTTTGGTAAATAAGCACAATTCTAAGGTAGATTCATTATAATAACATAGGACAAAAATGCAGCCCAGATACAGTGTGTGGACAAGTTAGGTTGTATTTTGAGTGAAACACCCCTTTAAACAAAGAGATCATCCCAGATGATCTTGCTGCCAATGTTGGTTGCAAATGTCCCAATAATTTTACCTTAGAAACACTCCATAACCCAAATGTGTAATAATTTGAAATCAATGACATCTTTAACATTTTTCATGAAAGTTTCAACAGAACTAAAAAACCTACTTCAAAAACCAAGCAATTGAATTCCCTGGTACCCTCTGAATTAAAAGCTTGAGAATGGTTTAAGTAGTACAGTAATTAACCCTAGATTGAAAATACATTACAGACAAACTGATCAAGTTTTTATTATAGTGATAACAAACACTTTGTTAAGATAGTGATTACAACTTGCAAAGCCTCATGTCTGTATCTCAAAGCCTATTCACTCACAATCACTAGTGGAGTAATCTATGGGTTTAAACATTAACATATCAAAAGGTCTATGATGCATTATTGCCCTTAAAGGAGAATCTGACCATCAAATGAACTGACAAAATAAATATGCAGAGAACTTAAATAAATTAAAAATACAGTTTTCTGTTTATTACAAAAGGAGGTATCAACAATTTAGACATAAACCACATGAATTAATATCTCAACAATATAGAAATTGATTGCCCTTCACAATTTTATCTCCATACATTTCATGTTCAGTTTAACCTTACTGTTTGGTAGGATCTGGAGATTATAGAACAGCAAACAACATGGTAGACACTCTACCCTAACAGGCATCTGAAAATGTGTGATGGAAATAATAGAGGAAATCATCTCCAAATACTTCCAAATACCTTGCATGCAGTGTTGGAAAAAGTACTCAATTGTCATACTTGAGTAAAAGTAAAGGTACCATAATAGAAAATGACTCAAGTAAAAGTGAAAGTCACCCAGTAAAATACTACTTGAGTAAAAGTCTAAAAGTATGTGGTTTTGAATATACTTAAGTACAAAAGTAAATATAATTGCTAATATATACTTAAGTATTAAAGGTAAAAGTAGAAGTATAAATAATTTCAAAATCCTTATATTACGCAAATCAGACGGCACAATTGTTTTTTTCATGTATTTTTTCTTTTACGGATAGCCAGGGGCACACTCCAACACTCAGACATAAACACAGTGAGTCCACCGGATCAGAGTCTGTAGGGATGTACTCTTGATAAGTGCATGAATTGGACCATTTTCATGTCCTGCTAAGATTTCAAATCTAACAAATACTTGTGGGTGTCAGGGAAAATGTATGGAGTAAAAAGTACATTATTTTCTTTAGGAATGTAGTGAAGTAAAAGTTGTCAAAAATATAAATAGTAAAGTAAAGTACAGATACCCCAAAAAAACTTAAGTAGTACTTTAAAGTATTTTTACTTAAGTACTTTACACCACTGCTTGCATGTAGCCTCTTACCTCCTACTGGTAATTCAGACAAAGGGTTAAGGGGATTAGATAAGTAAGTACAGGCCTCAACAAGTTGTAATAAAGTCTGCATGTACTGAAGTTAAACCACACAGTTGTCACACACACACTGCTCTGCAGATTTTTATGCTAACAATTAGCGACACTCTGTGGTTGTGAAGTGAAACAGCTAGACAACCAACGTCATCATCTCCAAATCTTGCCAAACAAAACCACCCAAAAAAATCAATAACAGATTGAAAAGCATGTCACCAACATTTTGTCTCTCAGACATGGTTGGCATAGCCGTCATTGCCATCCGCTGTGTCCAGGGTTTTGGTACGGTCCGTTTGCACTGAAGCGTACAGGTCAGAGAGCACAGAGACCGAGTCAGCGTTGTTGTTGGCAACGGTCACCTTCTCCGCTTCCTGTGGCCCCTGTAGTGTCACCACGTCAGAGTATTTAATCTGGGGCTGTGGGGAGCTGCGGCCAGACACCAGCTTGGGGGCCTTCAGAGTCAGGTTGGCATAACAGTCCTGACCTTTGGAGGGCGCCTGACATAAGGAAGAAACATGGTAAATGTATGTTCAATACAATCTTGTCCACCAGCCTGCTCTCTCTAGCAATTGAGCCTGGGGAAGTGGTTATGTTTAATGTACTGTATAGGTTTTTGGTATGGGCCTACTATACATGACATAAAGATCTAGGTAAAATAATGAACAATAGCAGGAGACATTGTGCTTCACAAGGAGAAGGTATAGAAAAAGTAGCACCTGAGAGCCACTTTTGACCTGGCGATCTCTGACAGATGAGGAACTGAGTGGGAGGTCTCCTGTCAACAAAGAGACACCAGTCGTGAGAAAAATTATCATTAAATTCTGCGTCACTCATCACATTACATTGTAATGCACAGATAGCGTGTAGTGACATGGAGTTTAATTTTCTTGGTGTAATTACATGTAACTATACAGTAACTACACTCCTAGAAAAAAATGTGATATCTATAACCTAAAGGGTTCTTTGACTGTCCCATAGGATAACCCTTTCCACAGAGGGTTCTACATGGAACCCCAAAAGGTTCTACCTGTAACCAAAAAGGGTTATCCTATGGGGACAGCCGAAGAACCCTTTTGGAACCCTTTTTTCTAAGAGTTTATATCAGAAACTAATTTGGAACAAAAAATGACCTGTTTCATTTCATTACAAGTCACAATGTTTTGCTGTTTGGGGCTTATGAATCCTCTGACAACATTGAAACCTTGACATTCAAAATTAAAAACGTAAGACATTTTGCAAGCAAGTAGTTTGTGGGAACTTCTTCTCACTAGTCTGGGTGTAGCTGATGTTCCCATAGATAGGGTTGTCCTCCATATCCCTCACTCTCAGACTAAGACTGGTTGATTCCCATCGAGGATGAGGAGAGAGGAAACAGTGAGGTCATTAGCAAAGCAGATATTAGAATGTAATAGTTCAATATCATTATGATTAAACCAGATAAATTAATCTCAAAATGAATAAAGACAATAAACAATCAATCCAAAGCCATATATTTTTCAATATAAATGTCTATTTTCTTTCTCTCTGCATTGTTGGGAAGGGCCCGTAGGTAAGCAATTCACTGTTACTCTACACCTGTTGTTTAAGAAGCATGTGACAAATAAAATGTGATTTGATTTTGGAAAATATCTAAATCTGTCTATATATTTGGCTCTGCATCATTCATTGCAGTCCCATCAGATGTGGACAACCCTTCAAATTAGTGGATTCGGCTATGTCAGCCACACCCTTTGTACATAATTGAGCACCCAGCCATGCAATCTCCATACATAAAGATTGGCAGTAGAATAGCCCATACTGAAGAGCTTAGTGACTTTCAACGTGGCACTGTCATAGGATGCCACCTTTCCAACAAGTCAGTTCGCCAAATTTCTGCCCTGCTAGAGCTTCCACAGTCAACTGTAAGTGCTGTTATTGTGAAGTGGAAACGTCTAGGAGCAACAACGGCTCAGCCGTGAAGTGGTAGGGCACACAAGCTCAAAGAACGGTACCGCAGAGTGCTGAAGCACGTATCGTGTAAAAATCGTCTGTCCTCGGTTGCAACACTCACTACTGAGTTTCAAACTGCCTCTGGAAGCAACGTCAGCACAATAACTGTTCGTCTGGAGCTTCCATGGCTGAGCAGCTGCACACAAGCCTAAGATCACCATGCGCAATGCCAAGCGTCGGCTGGAGTGGTGTAAAGTTCGCCACCATTGGACTCTGGAGCAGTGGAAACGCGTTCTCTGGAGTGATTAATCACGCTTCACCATCTGGCAGTCCAACGGACGAATCTGGGTTTGGCAGATGCAAGGAGAACGCTACCTGCCCGAATGCATAGTGCCAACTGTAAAGTTTGGTGGAGGCAGAATAATGGTCGGGGACTGTTTTTCATGGTTCGGGCTAGGCCCCTTAGTTCCAGTGAAGGGAAATCTTAACGCTACAGTGTACAATGACATTCTAGACGATTCTGTACTTCCAACTTTGTGGAACCAGTTTGGGGAAGGCCCTTTCCTGTTTCAGCATGACAATGCCCCCGTGCACAAAGCGAGGTCCATACAGAAATGGTTTGTCGAGATCGACTGGCCTGCACAGAGCCCTGACCTCAACCCCATCGAACACCTTTGGGATGAATTGGAACGCCAACTGCGAGCCAGGCCTAATCGCCTAACATCAGTGCCGACCTCACTAATGCTCTTGTGGCTGAATGGAAGCAAGTCCCCGCAGCAATGTTCCAACATCTAGTGGAAAGCCTTACCACAAGAATGGAGGCTGTTACAGCAGCAAAAGTGGAACCAACTCCATATTAATGCCCATGATTTTGGAATGAGATGTTCGACATGCTTTTAGTGTAAAATGTATCAGTCAATCAACCTTTTTGTCTATAATTAATTAGACACACACCTCCTTCTGAAGCGGGGTAGAAATATCTTCCCTTTATCTGTAACAACAAAAGAGTGTTCTCTGTCAGTTACGTAGATATTTGTTTATCAGAGGTAGTGTTAACTCTTGACTTCAGCCTTACCTGTACATTGTGTTGCGATACAGCAAATAATTATCCAGCACACTGAAAATACCAACATTGTGCAGACAACTGCCAGTAGGATCCACAGCTCAAAAGACCCGCAGAAAATACCAAAAACTATGGGGAACAAAAACAAGATGTGTCTATACCTCCAGAAGACACTAAGTTGAATAAATAGTTCAAAGTAAACTAAATGAACCCACACTCTGTTGTAGGCTCATACATGTTTTTTAGGAGCCTACAACAGTGTGTGGATTCATTTTGGTTACGCTGTGTAATACATTTAACCTTTTAAAGCTGACATCAATCTTTGAGCCTGAAAAGTTTTGAGTTTCATAATTTTCAATGGCATGTACATTTGACCTTTTTGACATCTTGATGATAATAAAAGATTGTCTAACTTGAAGCAAGCTTTTAAAAAGGAGACCACAATAGTGTGAGTTAAAATAGATCAGACTTACCTGTTGTTTGAGTGCTGCTGTTACAGCAGCCTGCCATGATTAGCCTAGAAAATTCATAGACTCGCCTGAGAAAAATAAAAAGAAACAATTTAATCCCTCTCTGTGATTTTAAAAGATTGATCCAAGATGTAATTATATTGAAGCGTAATTAGTAATTCTGTACTAAAAGTATTATATTTCTAAGTCTATTATATTTGTATTTTAGGGAGTTGGTTTTCAAGTGAGGCAGGTTCATCTAGGGTTCTTTCTGGGGGTTTGCTGCAGGATGTTAGCCTGACATGTTCTCTTGTGCATAAGCAGGGCAATCTGCAGAAAACCACAATCCTTCCTATGAAAACAACTCATGCAGAGCAACATTTTGTTAATGAGCAAAAGAGAGAGAGAATATTATGAGTCTTACAGTGCCTTCGGAAAGTATTCAGACCCCTTGACTTTTTCCACATTTTGTTAGGTTACAGCCTTATTCTCAAATTGATTAAATTGTTTTTTTCCCTCTTCAATCTACACATAATGACTAAGCAAAAACAGGTTTTTAGACATTTTTGCTCATTTATAAATAAATCAAAAACAGAAATATTACATTTACATAAGTATTCAGACCCTTTACTCAGTACTTTGTTGAAGCACCTTTGGCAGCAATTACAGCCTCGAGTCTTCTTGGGTATGATGCTACGAGCTTGGCACGTGTATTTGGGGAGTTTCTCCCATTCTTCTCTGCAGATCCTCTCAAGATCTGTCAGGTTGGATGGGGAGCGTTTCGGCACAGCTATTTTCAGGTCTCTCCAGAGATGTTCGATCGGGTTCAAGTCCAGGCTCTTGCTGGGCCACTCAAGGACATTCAGAGACTTGTCCCGAAGCCACTCCTGCGTTGTCTTGGCTGTGTGCTTAGGGTCGTTGTCCAAAGAGTTTAATCTTGGTTTCATCAGACCAGAGAATCTGGTTTCTCATGGTCTGAGAGTCATTAGGTGTCTTTTGGCAAACTCCAAGCGGGCTGTCATGTGCCTTTTACTGAGGAGTGGCTTACGTCTGGCCACTCTACCATAAAGGCCTGATTGGTGAAGTGCTGCAGAGATGGTTGTCCTTCTGGAAGGTTCTCCCATCTCCACAGAGGAACTCTAGAGCTCTGTCAGAGTGACCATTGGGTTCTTGGTCCCCTCCAGAGTGACCATTGGGTTCCTTCTCCCCCGATTGCTCAGTTTGGCCAGGCGGCCAGCTCTAGGAAGAGTCTTGGTGGTTCCAAACTTCTTCCATTTAAGAATGATGGAGGCCACTGTTTTCTTGGGGACCTTCAATGCTGCAGGAATGTTTTGGTACTCTTCCCCAGATCTGTGCCTCGACACAATCCTGTCTCAGAGCTCTACGGACAATGCCTTCGACCTCATGGCTTGGTTTTTGCTCTGACATTCACTGTCAACTGTGGGACCTTATATAGACTGGTGTGTGCCTTTCCAAATCATGTCCAGTCAATTGAATTTACCACAGGTGGACTCCAATCAAGTTGTAGAAACATCTCAAGGATGATCAATGGAAACAGGATGCACCTCAGCTCTATTTCGAGTCTCATAGCAAAGGGTCTGAATACTTATGTAAATAAGGTATTTCTGTTTTGTATTTTTTATAAATTAGCAAACATTTCTAAAAACCTGTTTTCGCTTTGTCATTATGGAGTATTGTGTGTAGATTGCTGATGATTATTTTTTTTTTAAATCCATTTTAGATTAAGGCTGTAACAAAATATGGAAAAAGTCAAAGGGTCTGAATACTTTCCGAAGGTACTGTATATCAAGGGATGCAGCAGCTCTTTATTTCTGTCTGAAAGATTCTGATTCATTTTTGGTTTGTACGTTTTTGGAGAACTAATGTGCTTACTGTGCTTGCTAGTGTGCTTACAAAATTTAAATGATAAAGTATTCTAATTCTTTAGGTAACATTGGTTTGTTAAAGGTATACAGATTTCAGAATTTTGGCAATGAAGCCCTTTATCTACTTCCCCAGAGTCAGATGAACTCGTGGATACCATTTTTATGTCTCTGCTTGCAGTTTGAAGGAAGTTGCTAACTAGCGTTAACGCAATTGCTAACTAGTGTTGGCGAAATGACTGGTAGTCTATGGTAACTGCTAGCATGCTAGTAGATACCATATACTTCCAGTCATTGCGCTAACGCTAGTTATTATTGGCTCACAAAACTACCTCTATCTTACTGGATGCAGAGACATAAAAATGGTATCCAAGAGTTCATTTAACTCCGAGGAAGTAGATAAAGGATTTCATTGCCAAAATCCCAAAGTATCCCTTTAACTATACTGAGAAAATCCCACAAACATCAGTTAATTTAATCATAGATGGTGGAAGAATGGTTCATGTAAAGTTTAATAAATTATTTATTTAATTTATTTAGTTGTTTCCAATTACTGTATAGGCTAGTGGCCAATCCCCAAAAGGCCTGTTTTTTCACATCTCTTATGTCTCCCATTTAAGAAATGGATGTTTGTGTAAAAATATTTTACTGCAAAACTGGTTAACTTTATAGATATTGTGACACAGCCCCTAAACTAAAAAACTGCAGAATAATGTCTGGCTGGAGGGACGATGGGCCGCATAAGCTTATGTAACACAATATTGCAAGCTCTGATATTGCAAAAAAAAGAAGAAATACAAGTAGTCCGTTGTCTGCACTACACACACAAACAAACAGTATTAGGATATCTTAATGCATCTTTGAAATATAGACCTGTAAACACAGAGATACAGTAGGCAGAAATATCAACCATGAATATTTATGGTGAATGTAAGCTTTACTTTTTGGTAGCTAATTAATAGACAACTTTCCAAGTCAAATCATTCAGTGCTGTATGGTCCTGTCTGACAAAAACAAGTGGGCTCAGACACTGAAAACTGTCGTTTTTTTTGGTCAAAATTTCCTTGTGGATTTTATTTGTTCAGCCCCAACTCTTGCAATCACATTAGGGGCCCCCCTAGATTTGACTCCAAATCCAATATGGGATCCAACATCCAATATGGCTGCCACAATACCATTAAATGGTGGTTAAATTACCTGTACAGTATATAGACAGGTTTTAAATGAGATAATTCCTACAGATTTATGTACTGTTCTAATGACCTGTACTCAATAATATTTTTGCGCAATTCAACTTAGTTAGGAATCCAATATGCATGCCATAATTACACTCAAACACATTTATCTGGATATAGAAAAGGCAGCAGACTGCTTGGCATGGCAACACCAAGTATTCCGAGTCACAAGCCTCTTTGAGGATCAATGAAGCAACTCGGAGGCTCCAACGAAAGGAAAGAGAATCCAACCCTGGACTCTTGACACCCTCTCCCTAACTCTACATCTTGCCCCCACTGTGGTATAACTTGTGCGGTTGTGCCTCCAGGATTGGGCTCTTAAGTCACCTCCTTATAATTTATAAGTGAGCTCTAGTTCATGGCTAGTCCAATACGGCTGCCTGAATCCAACCTGACCTTCCACTGGCTCACTGCATTCATGATGCACATTGGGATGTTCTGGTGCATCCTTATGCTGTTCAGGTTGAGCTGAGAGATACTTTTGCTTTTTCCAGAAAGGCCGAATGTGGAGTTTTCGCTCCTGCCACACCTCCATCCTGCCCCTCTGGAAACTTATTTCTCAAATCAAAGGTTCCGAATCACATTCCGTGCATGTGTTATTTTACACACACATTCACGTTTCTCTCTTTACTCACCCTCTTCTGAACCCTCAACCCATTTGATCGATATGATGATGTACAGTATGTCTCTGCCTCATATTTCTGAACAGCTGCGATTTGAACGAACGTTCCAAAATATATATATGAAGGCTACAACCTTCTCTTTCTGTTGTAACGGATATTGCCGTAGAACAAATAAGACACAGTCTACACATTGCATTGGGGAAAAAAAAAATAGCGTTTTGTTTGATGATGTAATCTTTATATTTATGCTGCCATATAGCCAGCAGTCTGCCTCCTGTTTAACCAATGTTTGCAATGAAGATGAAAAAATAACATTAAATCGTTATTGACTGCCTGTCTGTTTCTTACTTGTTTGATATGCAGTGTAGGCTACATATAGCTGGCCTAATTAGCTGCATGTAACTCCCCTCCTCAAAAAAGAACATGAATTTGCTAGACATCCTGTTTGAGTCATGCTTATGTTTGCAAAAGCCTACTGTTAAAACAGACAAAATAACTAACTTTGTTCGAACTGTTTTGTGTACAAGTGGCAGCGGAGTGCTGAGTGACTCAGCACTGAGCAGCAGCAGAAAGGAGGTAAGCTAGTGGATCGCGCATGCACAGAAATCTCCATATTTTTAGCAACAGTAAGTCGGGTTCCAGACAATGCAGAATCACAGACATTCCGTTCCAGAAAACCATGTCCACCATCCTGGCTGTCTGTCCTGGAGTTGCCGTATATATTTTGACTTGGTGACATTATGGTGTATGCATGGAGAGGATGCAACCACACATGATAACAAGTGCATAAGGCAGGTGTTCATTACAATGAACCAACAAAACCTGACACTCATTGACAAGAAATGCCATCAACTTATTGGGCCTTCACATGTTATAGGAATTGCAGCTCTCCAATGTCAGTGCCATCCTGAATCTCCCAGTCTGCCCTGCAGATGCCATACATGTTGACTTGGTGACATTATGGTGTATGTATGGGGAGGATCAGTGTTGCCAACTCCTCAGTAAGGAAAGTAGATATTGGCTGTCCTAAAAGTCGCTAAAGTTGCTAAATGACGTCATCACCTAATTTGCATAATTGGCCATGTGCATGTAATTGTGATGGACGGTGTAGGAGAGAGGAATAACGTCGTGGGAGAGACAAAAAGTGAGTAAAAAACACCCTACATTTATATCCCGGGGCGGGATCAGCCAGCGGCGGCTTCCCGCATGCACAATTCATTTGCAGTCTGGACGCGGAGGGGTGAACATCTCCTGCTCTGTCTGCAGCTGGGAGGAACTGCTGCGCGAGGACTGGGCCGCCTGTGAGTGCTTTGGGACGGAGGTGGGGCCCAGGGTGGGGCCCACGGCA